TTTGAATTCACATCGTCACTTTGAAATTCAAAGTTGTCTGAGTTGAGAATACATTCCATTTTTTGCCTATATTCAAGTCGCGATTCGTTGGTCGATGTGTTGCCAGTTTGAAGAAAGCAGCATGCGTCGCATATTCTTAAGTTTAGACCATTATACAATAATCTTGCGCAACTCACCTTAGCCGGTTAAAAAAAATGTTCTCCAAATGGAAAATGTCTTTACTATTACAGAACAATGAAAAGTATATTTAAACGCAATTGTAGTCTGCTCCTTAGAATCGAGCCGTTTAGAAAGAGTCCATTCTGTTGCGTTCAATACCTTCCCCTCATCTTTATTTGCATTTTATCTCACTCAATTTTTACTCTTCAAATGGGGCTGGAGCTGCCACATTTGTCGGCTGAAGCGAGATTAGGAAATCCCACCAACAAATTCAAGACATTCAACGATTTGGCGTAATATGGTCAATAAGGTGATGTTTATTTGTCGCAAATGTCCTCATAAAAAACTGTCAAGTATTTGTTAGTAATAACGTCAGGAAACATTTTCTCTAGGTTCACTTGTAGTCTCATTGTACTAAACGAAAAGTACGTATACTTAGAAGAAATTCATTTGCGATCGTTTTTCCGAGAAAAAGATATTAGGCGAAAGCCGACGTCCCCCAGACGACGCGAAAATAAGCATAATTGCTAGAGCTGAAATCTTTTAACTTCCCTGAGAAAGTTTTGCCTAAGATAGACCGCCTTCAGATATTAGTATTTTACTCTTGCACTAGCTGCTTGATCCGTCAATACCTGACCGTGATTTACAGGGTCAGGATAAAATGGATACCCGAAATATAGAAAAGAATGAATATCGTTCATAGATGAAGTCTTGCGTATTAATGATCCTATACCGAGCTCGCCTTAGTTGATCATGTTGATTGTAGTGCGCGAACGAAGCGCTAAGAGCGTCTGCCCGGGAGGCTAAATAATAAAAATAACTCTTATCTTGTAGTTTCAAAGAAAACAATGAAGGGTTTACTTGGGTGAATAAGAGATGTCGTTTGTCGCGTCTTTCTCAATTTTTCAAGTTGTCGGCTGGCTAACCCAGAAGAGAAACTCACCAAGGTTATCTGGCTTCGAGAACATTCTGTCGATGTCGATTACCAACAATGGCCGCCGATAGAACCGAAACGAAGCTATGTAAAGAGGTTGGAGAAATATATTATTCGCTTAGTAATAACCAGTAGAGATTGAAAACATTAACAGCAAAGACAGCATAACACCGTTCTCTGTCATGGTCACAGTGATATTTAATAACAACAGTGTTCGCTCTATAAACTCTCGTAAGGTGATTCGCTTGACTTTTGGCCGCTTTCATGGAAATGAATCATTTGGAACAGTAAGAAAAAGGCGAGAGCGTTGTGCTTCTGAAATTGCCTCCGTTCAAACTACTTTCAGTTTCAAACTATGCAACTATCGATAACTCAGATGTTTTCTCCTGTAGCTTTTTGTGGCCTGATAGCTTTAAGAAGAAAAATGAAAAAAAATTCGCTTTTCTTCGGAATACCGCGGCCTCGATGACTACGAATCGGCACGACGAAACGCGACTTCAAATTCATGTGGTTAATCTCGCTTTCAAGGAGGTAGCAGGGAATAGTTATTTAATGTCTAGTTTAAACTCACATCTTCATTTCATCGTCTCGGTTGTCTGATTTGAGAGTACATACCACTTTTTGTCTATATTTAAGTGGCGATTTGTTGGTCAGTCTGTTGCCAGTTGGAAGAAAGTAGCATGCGTGGCATGATACAGTGTTCTTCAGGTTAGACCATCATTAAATAAGCTTACGCAAACTCACCTTAGCCGGTTAACGAAATTTTTCCTCCCAAGGAAAATGTTTTACTATTATAGAAGAATGATGCAGAAAGAGTTGCTTCCAACAGGGTACGAAGAAATGGGTTTTGTCGTTTAGATGACGAACGCATTGCCGCACCCAACAGAGCACGTGACCTTGACTGGGAAACCAGTTTAACTGGATGAAGCTGGTTTTTCTTTAGCAAAGGTATCCGGCTTTTTTTCAGAAATCCAACAATGATAGAGTTTTTTTAATGAAGTTAATATCATCAGAAAAATAAACGCGCACTCTTATTGGTCAATAAACCATCTGTTTTTCGTCCATTGTTGAATGCTGATGAAAGCTCCCGCGCGGTCTCGTCTTAATCTAATCAGAGCAAGGGTACAAAAGTCATCCAGGATAACATAAAAAAGATTTTTCAGTCCCAAGTGGTACAAAAAATTCTTTTTTGAGCGGAGGGCTTCTTCAACGAGACTGAGTCTTTGGAATGAATGATTTGCCACTAATTCCACACGACAAAACACTCACCATCTTTCTAATTCTAGAAAGCAAACTTTATCTTAAAATTATATTAACCTGTTAACAAATGTTAAAAGGCTTCTTTTGTATTACCGTAAAATTCCGAAAATAATCCCCTCCATGTATAAGCCCCCTAAACCGGTAACGCAAAAAACCCTCCGTTAAATCGCCCCTCCAAATATAAGCCCCCGGGGGCTTGTACTTAGAAAATTGCCCTCAAATACAAAGTAAAACAAAGCAAAAACGGTAAATTTCCCTCCAACTACAAGGCTAGCCCAATCGGGTTTGAAACGGAAATTCCCCTCCCTAGATAAGCCTGTCTGAATATAAGCCCCTCCAAAAGGGCCTTTGAAAAATATAAGCCCCGGGGCTTATTTTCGGAATTTTACGGTAGGTTATGGATAAATTTGGCAGGTTGGTTATGACGAAGAAACCATCACCTCGTGGGACTCTTACACTCCTATCACCCTTTCCTGTGCATCCCTTTAACAACTCTACAAGTTAGAGTTTTCCATTAGTTAATAGACACTCTTAGAAATAGAGAGTACCAAAAAAAGTTTAATTAGACAACTTGAATTCACGAAATCTTCTTGAATACAGTTTTACCGTTAAAAGTGTTCCTTCCGTATTTTATGGGGATAGCAACATCAAATGGTTTATCTACTTCCATATTTCTTAGAATCATCGCAAAAACAATTTATTGAAGTTGTCGCTGCTTTTTTTGTTGAAAACGCCAGTTCTCTACTCACAAGTTAAAATGCAATAAATAGTGAGTACGTTCGCTAACGAAATTGCAGAATTCGTGATAGAATGTTTTTGGAATTTCAATCTGCGTTGACACGTGCGATTTATAATTCTTGGAAGTGAAGACCTTGTTGATTTTTTGCAACAAAAATATTTTATTGTATTGACGACTCGATCAGTAACATTACATATAACTTTAAAATGTGAAACGTACATCACAGGAATTGATTAACAGCTACACGTTCATTTACCGCATTTACACACGACAAAAAAAAATATAGACATCCTACATAGAAATTCAGTGACGAGCTCTGTATGATGGGATATTTTAACACCAGACGCTGTGACATCCATTCCTATAATATTGTTTTTAGCAATAACATTTTTATTCTAAATTTCCAAGCATACTTATATTTTACGTATATTTTTAATGATTGTTTTTTTTTCAGCAACAACATAAACTAAGGGAAAAATCAAGTTAAAATAATGTTCATGAATTAATCAGGCAATGCAATTTAATCAATGATGTATGTTTAGAGAGATTGAACTTGTCTCTTCTTTATGTTTCTGTTCAGTGTACAAGCTGTCCTAGTTTACTTCTGAACTGCAACTGATTTTTCGACCGTTTGATATGCTCAGTCATATACAACTTGAGTTCTATGCAGTCTTTAAATATGCAGTAAATTGAGCCTTTCTTTTGCAGCTTAGGAAAGTTATTGCAGTGTCTAGTTCCCTGGCCATGTTATGTGCGCAGCCAATTCGTCTTAGTGGTCCTATCGACTAAACACAGTCATCACTAAAGAGCGGGTGTAAGACCAGTAACAAAGCTCAGTACAATCGGCGACAAATTGTTACGAGAATGTCCTCAAATAGGGTACATCGGAGAACAAAACATTCTGTATCTCCCCCTTCCCTCTATTCAAAGTTGGGCCACGGTGTTTGTTGTTCGTTAGAAGTAGCAGTTACAGCGGCACCACATTGTTTGGAGAGGTTGGGGTGGGAAAGCTTCAATTTACCCTAGTTTTGAACGCAGAAAAATGTCACAAAGGCCCTTTAAGGTAAAGTGTTTCAACTAATTTTGTCGGTGATTGTACGTACAGCCCCACCTTGTATGGCCGTCAACGTTTAGAACATCTTCATCGTCAAATGTAAAGTCGCAACCATAATACTTGAGTTATGATAGACAAAAGCGCGTATGCCTGAGATGGATGAGCACAAAGCGGCCACAGAAACAAGGGGAAAGTAATTCCGATTCGACCTCTTAACATAACTTAATTGAAACTCAGTTCAACTCTTTACTCTGAACTGACCCAGGTCATAAAACAAAATGGTTTCTTTAAAAATAGACAGAAATAAAAATAACATTCATGACAATGGAAAGTGCTACTGAATCAGTAAAAATGTCAATCTTTCCTCAGAGTCTGATAGTACTTACTACTGACCCAGGTCATAAAACAAAATGGTTTCTTTAAAAATAGACAGAAATAAAAATAACATTCATGACAATGGAAAGTGCTACTGAATCAGTAAAAATGTCAATCTTTCCTCAGAGTCTGATAGTACTTACTGCACTATATATAAGCTGAGGCTTGAACTAAGCTGAGGCTTAATGTAAACTTGGTAATCACAAGCAGCGTTAGCTAATTACGATGTAGATGACTCGAATCTACCGAGACCTTAACTAAACACAACCACTAGCAATCGACCTAACTCACTTGAAAGTACCAATTATTCTATGTTTGTTGTTTACAGGGAATGTCCCTATGGCGTATCTATATATCTATACGTGCTGACTACAAACAAATGCTCGGTACGCTTACATGAAACGCCCTAAATTAAAGCTACTGTTCTTGTTAGCGTTTTATACTCCAGGACGAAGAGCACCTCATCAACTCACTCCGCATCACTCAGAATGGGGATGAAACAGCGACACCTCAATATCCAACACGGCCAGTGTTTTCTTCTGCATGGGAACTTTAAACTCCACATCTCGTTTCAGCTGTTTGTGCAACTTCTCAGCCTCCCGTAGCTCGTTCTTCCGAAAATCTTCGCATTTGGTCAACAACAGCTTGTCGGTGAAGTAACCCTGGACATTTCGCTTGCAAATGAATAGTATAACAGCGACGATCATTGAGCAGACTGTCCAGTGAGCTAGATTCAATGAGAGGAAAAAGAACAGTCTCATCAGACTATCAAATTGAAACACTCTGTGCGGTCTGAAAATGCGATTTTTCTTATTGACAGTTGCAGCTTATACGGCTATCACTTTGTAAAAGAAAACTGGAGGTATTGTCTTCAAACTAAAGGTACTCTGATAATTTCAGGCATACAGTAAATGAGTTTGGGTAAAAAAAAAATAAGACTTTGTTAATTTGGTTCAGTTGACCTGACCGAAAATCTGCTGCCCTATCTAAGAGCGGACCATTACCAATGATAAATGTTTCCATCTACCTACTTTGTTAGTAGTCTGCGTAGCCGGCAAAAGTTTTGGCAGAAGAGCTGCGAGTCATGGTGGCTTCGCTACCAAAGCTCTTGCAACGTACGCGCAAAAACAGTAAATTCCGCCAAGTACACAGGCTACTTTAGAATAGGTATTTAACAATTATTCCTCTCGCCCGAATGGGCTGTGAGTCAATAGCCCATGAGGCCGAAGGTCGAATGGGCTATTGACTCAGAGGCCATGAGGGCGAGAGGAATAATTGCTTTAGTAAAATCAAACTAGTTGGTCAAAAATATCGAGAATAAAAAAAGTTTAGCTAGTTAAAACTAGCCTTTGATCCGTTTTTGCCCCCAAAAAGCCCGCGCTTTTCGCTACTAGTGGGCTATAACATATAGCCTAGTAGTAGCTCAACCAATCAGAACGCTGCATTGATAATAGACTACTAGTTGAATTTTACTAAATTCTGTATAGATTTGCGTCAACATTTCGGTAGTGCTTCCTCTTCCCACTTCCACGATTAGCGGTTCTTAATTAGATGCTACTGGCCTTACCCTATTCCAGGCCACAAATGATAGATTCTGCACTTTGGACCTGACGGAATAATTGTTTTATTATTCATTCAAAATGTTTCATAATGAAAAAAATAAGCTAAAACATATTAACCTCGATCAATGTTAAGTCCCCGTCTCCAGTTGCCTGTTCCTCGGCAAATAGCAGTTGTCATCGGTCCCCAGGTCTCCTCGGTTGCTTTGCATTTTTCTGGCATTATCCTGCACTATATTCACGCCTTTTCGTTCCCGGATATTGCAATCGTCTTCCAAATTTAGTAAAAAGTAACACGCATAAATAACAGTTTCAATGCTTTTTGTGTTCATATGCTTTTAACCTTCACTTTTTCCCGTTTTTATTGCAACATGTTATAACAGTATCATATTGGAAGCTGTCCTTTATTTTAAATTGTAATGTTTCGTTGATAAATAACAGGACGATTTGAGCAAATCAGAGGCGTAAATATATTTTGAATGAATAATAAAACCCCTGATCCTCTGGCACCTTACTCCGTACCTTTAAAGCGTACGAAGGGTTAGAATGTCCCAAGTCTTAAAAACGTTTACAAGGGAACAAATTGAACTTACAGCCAACAGGTAAAGCAGCTGCGATGAGTAAACTAATAATGATGACCACTTGCTTAAGAATATGAGTAGGGGTTCGTTTTGCTCCACCCTGCAGATCAGAGATGTCGGCTTCTAAATACATCAGAGCATCTTGGCATGTACCCAGAACACATGTGGAATTGATAAGTCCCATTTCTATTTCCAGGTCAGCGTTACGCGAGATTCTGTAGTTTCTTTTAGCAGCAGTCTGGATCTACATAATTTTCAAAGAAACAAAGAGTATGAGGTCTTAATCATTACTGATAAATATCTTTGAAGAAAAAAATTAAAGGGTTAAACTATTGGCTAATAAAGCCTGCATGGTTTATCCTCTTCGTTCATTGCCATTTGGAAAAATGACGGGGCACTCTCTCCTCTGCCTCCTCAGAGGCTGTAGAAAGGGAAAATCTATAAGAACGCAGGGAACGATGAGAAGGGAAAAAGAAAGGGAGAGACCTTTCATCTCTTCCCATTGTCCACCGTGCGCTTATCTATGTTTTTGTCATTTATATTTTATTGGAATACCCAGCGGGAGCCTCTAAAGAGGAGAGAGGATGGGGCAAATTGAAATTTATTTTTCACCTAGTTATATTAACGAGCTACTGATAGAAAGAAATTCTTCTTACAATTTGCGTGGTAAACACTCTCTTAGTATTCCTAGGGTTCAATCGACCAAATATGGTTACACTCCTTTCGCTACTCTGTCAGTAAATATTTGAATATGCTCCCAGAGGTACTTAGAACTGCTGAGTCATTACATGTTTTCAAATAAAAAATAAAAATAAGAGCATTAGCTTTGATAATAAATGCTGCTCCTTTTGTAATTAGTTTTAATTATCACTAGTTACTGTAGTCACAACGTAATAATATTTTTTTGTCTACGTTATCTTAAATTTGTACATAATAATTGTGTAGTATCACTTTATTCTAATTACCATTTTCATTTATTTTCTATATTTACTTTGCTTTTCCTTAAGAGATATTAGCATACGTTTATGCTATATTTTGAAATTCGAAGTGAAAAAAAGTTTTTGATTGATTGATTGATTGATTGACTGACCTGCTCTCGAATATACTGATGCAGACTTTTTATTGAATCTCCCTTTACAGGGCTTTTCAAACACAACTAACTAATTACGTGAAATTTGCAGAAATAAAATCTAAAATCTAAAAAGCTAAACTGTCCAGTGTATTCATTAGAATACACTGTTAAACAGTAACTTAGATAAAGAAATTCCTGCTCATGCAATCTATTCATTAAATAATCTTTTGTTAAAAAGCTTGATACCTTTAATGCTCTGAAGGTCCTTTGGCAAGTCATTCCAGCGTCTAGCCCCGCGAAAGTAAAAGCCTCGACAGGACAACCGGCAGCGTGGAAGTCTCAAGTTTCCAGACCTTCTTGTGCTAGACCGATTTAGACATTTAAAAACTGAAACTAAATCATTGAATAAAATCTTCTCGGAAACATTCAGCCATTTTAGAAAATACGACCCCTCAGAAGCATGATCAAATTACGATCCTGGCAGCGAAATTCTTACTAATTGCAGCTCAGAGTTACGTATGTTTGATTTAACTGAGTTTCCCCATACAGGGAACAATAAAAGTAACTTGGTAAAAACAAACTTTTAGATTCCACTAATACTCGAAAGATCGTCAAAGTTTTCAGACTTCTAAGAAAGCTGTAGAAGCAGGTACCTTCTTCCATGGAAATGAAAGAGGGTCGAGTATCGATCGCTGTTGAAATGATATCATTAGTTCTTCAAATAAACTCAGTTCTTCAAATAAACTCTCTTTCCGGCTATTTGCAGACGACACTAGCGTCTTTCCTTCATTTCTAAATCCGAAAGAACTTAAGACTACCATGAATCAAGACACAGAAAGTAAAGAATTTGGAGCGACGTTAATAAGCTCTCTATAAACCCTAAGAAAACAAACTTCATGTTAATTAAGTCAGCCCATAAAAAATGATCTTAATCATAATCATAATCTTGCCAACCATTATGAACGCACCATTTCTTCTCTTGAACAGAACGACCGCGTCAAATCCCTTGGCGTCATGATAGATGATAAAATAAGCAGGAAGTACCACATTTCTTTTTTTTCTTCACGTATATTTAGAAATTCTAGAATTTTCTTCAAGCTTCGTTACTACTTCTCTCCATTTCAACTGGGGCAATACTATAAACTAATCTATTCCTATCTCACGGCTATGCTATCTTTGTTTGGGGCAATGCCTACAAGTCCAGTATAAAAATTCTCCAGGTCAAACAAAACCACATTACAAGGATAATATTTTTTCCACTTTGTAAGGGAAACATACAGAAAGCTCTTTGCCCATTAATAAATCTTTCGATCGTGACATTCTAACTGTAGAACATATTAGCGAAATTCAAACATTAAAATTTTCCCATAAATGGCACCGGCAAGAGCTCCCATCAATCTTTCACAGTTGCTTTCAATACATCAGAAACATCCACTCCTTTAACACTAGATATGCTTCAAAAGACAATCTATTAATATCAATATAACCTGCTTTAGAGCAAATACTGGTAAACAAACGATATCTGCATCGAACTAGACCTCTGGAAGGAACTACCCTTTGACTTCAAACAACTAAGTGCTGCTCTTTTAAAAAACACTTGTTAATTAAGTAATATGCTTCTTCTGACATCTAAAACCAATTATTTAGTTACCTCCTCTTCGTTTATTCGCGCGTTAATATGTCCTCTATGCCAGGGCGTATAAAGGTTGGGCGGTGAAACGAGCGCTCCGCTCTTCATTTAATGTGTGATGCAGAGTAGGACTGGCACGAGCGCTCTTTCCGCGCTTCCGGTGCGCTTGAAGGTAGGCGAAATTTTTCTTTTTGCAAACCGGAAATCCTATTTTCTTTCTGTAGTTTCAGGCTACAGTGTTAAATAGATAAATTCGTTTCATAACAATATCAATAAACAGTTTCATATGTTTGTGTCTGTACGTCTATAAGTCAAACTTGTTGGTCGTATAATGCCAAAATTTGAGTTTAATTTGAAAGTGTTGACTACCTCCTCCTTCTACTAAATATATTTTATTTGTCTTTCGCCGTTTCGTTTGCATGACATGGATGAGATTTTCCTTTGTGTTTTAGACAGTACTTAGTTGTTTTTGTTTTGGAATAACATCGACATTGGCGAGTAGCAGAACGAAAATATAATTGAGTGGTAGAGTCATGGAAGTAATAAAAGAAACCCTTTGAAAGAGATGTTTGTCTACTCCAACTAAACCTCCCGCAAAAAATAGCAACATTTGCCTCTCTGAGACAGCGTACCAGCACAAAGGAACGAGGAAGAAGTGCACGAAAACAAATCAAGCCGCCATAATTCAGTGACAGCGGCAGTGTCTAATGTACAACCCACATCGCAAGCCCTGACCGAAGCCGAAAACAAGCGACATTTGTAAGTAGAGTCCCAGTCCACTGCATCACACCTTTTTGCTCGGACGCGCTCGTTTCACCTCCCAACCTTTATCCGCCCTGCTCTATGCTTCTGCCTTACGCTGTGCTGTACACTTGCATTTCCTTTCTTTTCTTTTTCTTTTTTTTTTTCCCTCCTTTACTTTGTCTTTACAAGTTTTTGCTTATGGTTCCTTATTTATTTATTTTATTCTGTTGCTTGTGTGTTTTTGTTTGTGAGTCTCATGACTACACACAAAAAAAACATATCTATAAGTCTAGAGACTAGCTCGAAAACCTCGCGGTTCATTTAGGCTCTAGGCACTTCCTTCTTTTATACTTATATTTTTGTTACCTTAAATTTTTCCAAAACAAAAAAACAGATATGTATTTTAAAGAATATTTAAACAATGTAACTAAAAAAGATAAGAGAAATGTTAATAAAGTAGTTGTTGTTTTTGTTGAGGCTGTGGCCACAATAATGTTAACACCAGGAGCCCATTACCTTGAGAGAGCAACTTCCCTGTACTCGTGTCAAGGCATTTTCGCCAATTAGTTTATTTTTAGAAGGATCTTGGCTCTAAAACGTCCCACAAACCAGTCAACAAAACATAGCTTCAGACGTTAAAATGGTGTTTTTGACCTTTTAAGGACGTTTAGGTTTCCGTTTTTCTATCTCATACTTCTAATGCGTTAATAGACGGAACGGAGCTTCCATTTTCGTGTGATAAAGTGCTCTAAAATTCATTTTAAAATAAACGGGTCCGTGAAAACGCCGTGAGATAGGCCAAACCCCCTCCCGCCCCCATTGAAGTAGCTCGCTTCGGGTTATGGGTTCCTTTCACACTCATTCGTGGGGACGTTTGGAGTCGTAGAAATGCTTTTATTTTATATCCGCTAGGATTGTTCGGATTTAGTACAATAAAGCCTAACAATGAACTTTTAAATATTTTGCAGTAAAATTCTATCTAATATCGTACTGGGATGCCCTTTCATTTAATGATTCTTATATGTACAATATCTTAACGCTTGTCGTAATGATAACCTCAGCTCCGACAACTACTTTATTCTGCCAGGTCTTCAAATTTATCAGTTGGCTAATAGATAAATAAATGTATAAACAAATATCATGGGCAACAAATCACTCCTTAATTTTGGCGCCGAGTTTCAGCGTTAATATTGTAGGTCACGAATTACTCCTTAATTTTGGCGCGAAATTTCAGCGTTAATTTTGCAATTTCACATGTGAAATTACAAAATTGCCATGGCAACCTAACGTACGTCTCAGTGTCAAGATGGCGACGAAGTTTTAAAATGTCATGAGTGAAGATGTCAGGGCAGACAAAGACGCTTTAGAAAACCTGAACACGCGAAAGAGCACATTAAGAAGGATTCTAACAGGTATTTTGTCAAAAAACTCTGAACTTAAGCCAAATTTAAGCTCTAAACGTTCGGGAGAGTGCAGGAGTTCTCGATCGATACGATCCAGGATAAACATCCAAGATAGCTAACGTAATTCGTCACCCTTGATATTAATAGGTAATCAAATGGTATACTCGTGAAATTAGGGAATAATTTCACTTGCGTTTTGTCCAAATCCTAATAATTTCCCTCGCCTAAAGGTTCGGGAAATTATAAGGATTTGGACAAAACGCGAGTGAAATTATTCCCTAAATTTCACTCGTCACCATTTGATTACACGTACTAATTTATAAATTTACATGTGAAATAGCAATATTTCTATAACAGAGTTTTTCCCTACGGTGCCAAAATCCCCCGTTTTGTGAGTGTATAAATTTTTGACCATAGTATTTAAGTTAATCAAATGGTATACCATTGTACTAGTAAAACTGGAGGAATAATTTAACTTGTGTTCTGTCCAAATTCTTATATGAAGTTATTACCCAATTTCACTAGTCCATTTGATTACACACACAAATTCGTTAACTATTTTTTCCATAATATTTTTACTGTGACCTACAAGTAAAACGGAAAAACAAAAAATACCAGCAATACCTTCTCTTGCATTTTTGTCGTATCATGAAGCACCTTCTCGTGTTTCCACTTTACTTCCCCCAGATCCTTTTCCATCTTGTCTAACTGCGCGCGGTTTTCTTTCGGTATCTCTCTCATAGTCTTGAGTACATCACTGAAGGCTGTCCACAGAAAAAAAAACCAAAACCTGATCCAAGACCGACTTCCACATGCCACAGCTGCTAAGGCACTGGTGATAAGGTGAAGTTTGCTTCCCTCCGCATTTCCACGTCCCTGTGTCTGGAGAAGATTTGTTACCACATCCGGGTTTTTCTGCAGAAATTCTGCCAGCATTTTACATGTTTCAGCCGTTTTCTGTTGACCTTCCTCTTGTATTGGGCGCGGAAGTAACTCCTCATGGGTGCTGTCCACCATGGTCTTGATTGAGATGTTTATCGAAAAGGCGATTCTGAAAATGAATAAAAGACCTTGAGGGAGTAAGCGCAAAAAGAACAATCTGCTTTAGTTTCACATTTGCGATTTCATTCTCGAATGTAAATGTAGGACATGAATACATATATACAAAGAACGTCTAGAACAAAGGGATGTTTCATACATACTCATAAATACGTAGACTGTTTACAGGAGGATCATAAGGTTATCCCTACATTAAGATCTCTCCTTAAAGATAACCCACCCAGCCCAGGAAAGTTTGGCCACAAGTAGTGGTATAGGCACCAAATTTACCCCCTTTCATGAGGGGGAATACATTAACGCCGATGACGTCATAGCGTTTTGTCTTTTAACTCACGAATAAAATGCGGTGGATTCTCATTATCTGCCATCTTTTGTGTTTCTTATACAATAGGAGCAATAGACTAACGTAGCCTAGACTGGTTATAACCTGTTTGTCATGTTCTTGTTTTATTGAACTGGTTTTGGTTATTTTTAGATGGATGATGTCTAAGGAATAAACTCAAACTTGCCTGTGCCTTAAAATCATCGAGCCGTAACGTAATTATGCACGTTCCATTTCCTGCCGCTGTCATTGTTAAAGTTCCTGTGCACCGATTCTTAGCGAGAAAGTCGTGTATATCTAATAAAGCGCGAAGGCAAACTAGTGCGTTCTACCACCACCCTCCTCCCTTTCTAAATTTGCATCTCTACATTTCTATTGTTTTCTTCCTCCACCACCACATTTCCATGTGTTCCCTCTTCTTCCTGCTCAATTTTATTGTTGCTCTCCTCCTCCTCCTCATTTCTATTGTTTACCCTCCTATCATACCCGACTTAAATTAATCAAAAAACCGATAATTGATAATTATCGATAGTAATCGATATCGATCATCGATGAATATCGATTTCCGATATCGGTAAAGAAAAGTTGTGACTTCGATCAAGGGCGATGATTTCCTGCTAGAAATCGATAATAGTTTTTCAGCGATTATACTATCGATTCCTGTCGATTAACTACGTCTGGAACATGTAACAAGCTATTTAGTAAACCGACAAGCCAATTACCGATGACATGTCTCGCAAACGACATCAACCAAGCTCTTCTACAACCACAACAACACTTTTCGCCCCTTTCTGTTTGCTTTCAGGTTAGCACATCGGGTCACAAGGTCTCTACTCTCTCACTTGAACAGTGTTTTTAATAACTTAGTGCAGTTGTTGCCTCTAAAGCAGGTGACCCAGAGTAGGGGCATGCGTATAGCTGAGTGAAAGATGAGCCCCCCCGCCACGTTCCAAAACGCTCCTCCGTCTCTGTTTAGTGAAGATACTTCAAGCTGTCTTTTCAAGTACGTGGACGATACTGAAGTCTACAAGGTAGTGGAAAATAAAAAGACTAGTCATGCGCAGTCCATCCTTAATTAGGTGTTTGCATGGTCTTCTAAAAACATGTTTCAACTACATTCCTGTAAGTGCAATGAACTAAAGATAACCTTTGCACGCTCTCCAAAAAACCACAAACTTGTAGAAATCGATGGTTGTGAAATTCATACAGTACAGGTAGTTAAATTAGTAGACTTTTATAGTCAAGAACACCTTAAGGGGAATTCTCATGTAACAGAAGTGACAAAAAAGCTACCAAACGATTTTTTTACAATAAATTAGCGAATCCTCGCGCGCTGATTGGTCGAGAGCTATGGTCTATGAGAGTATTAACCATGTAACATGTCACGCAGTGCCGGTGGTTTTGTTCTTGGCTTTTCGTAAAAATTAAAAAATATATTATTGTAAAAAGCAAATCGACCACAATTCTCCATGGTCTACACTCTTATAGACCATAGAAATGACGCAGTAAAATGTTCAAAACTTTGCAGTGGAACCACGAACCGCTTTCCACTTGAGTTTTGAACATTTTATGACGCCATTTCTATGGTCTATAAGAGTGTAGACCATGAAAAATTTTAGTCCATTTGTTAAGAATTTTTTAGTGCAACTAAAGCGTGCAAAAGTACCACCTGAAGAAATGGTTCAGTTCTATGTAGTTTGCATTCATATATAAATAAAGTGCACTACTCAGATGCCCTGTCACGTTGAGGCCTTGTTCCGTTACAGCAAAGAGGGACAGAGCTGTGTAAAAAAACTTTTTTAACGAAATTGTTGAAAATTTTCTTGATGTCTTGCACCCTCTCATAACATTCAATGAGTTACCCTCTAAGGACCTCTGTCAGGAATTCCAGAACATAACGTGTAAAGCCATGCAAGACCAACAGGTACCATGATACATTTGTTAACAAATGCCCAAGTATTTTCCAATAATTCATAGTTAGTCTGAGATTCTATGTTCGAAGTTGTAGGGTTTGTTAAAGTTAGTATGTAAGGATTTAATTTGTAATTATGTTTGAATTCATAACCCTTTTCTATATATTGTTAACCTTAGCAATTCAGTCATTCAATGAATTCATTCATTCAATTCAATGAAGCATTCTATTCTATTTTATTCTATTCTATTCTAGAAATAGATCCTACAGGGAAATGAAATGGGGAATTGATTTCACTGCATGATCATTCACGTGATTTAGTGATGCACGCAATAAGTACCACTTCCTGAGCAAGAGAAGGCCACTGAAAAATTACCGTAAAATTCCGAAAATAAGCCAAGGGGTTTATATGTTTCAAAGGCCCTTTTTGAGGGGCTTATTTCTGGAGGGGCTTATCTACGGAGACAAATTTGCGTTTCAAAATCGATTGGGCTAGCCTTATAGCTGGAAGTAAATTTACCTTTTTTGCTTTGTTCTACTTTGTGTTTGAGGGCAATTTTCCAAGTACAAGCCCCCGGGGGGCTTATATTTGGAGGGGCGATTTAACGGAGGGTTTTTTGCGTTACCGGTTTGGGGGGCTTACATTTGGAGGGGCTTATACATGGAAGGGCTTATTTTCGAAATTTTACGGTATTGTACGAAAGCATGATGCCATGAAAGTGGTGTCGAGAAAAGTTTGACTAAAGAGGCAAGAAAGACAAAAATGTTTTATTTTACTCAACACGATTTTACAATTAATACAGATTGAGTTAGCGAAACAAAGCTCATCAACATGACTTTTCCACGGTTAAGCTTGAATCAAATGTTATGCCTAAGTATTTAACACCGTGAACTTGTCTAATAGGAACATCCCCAATTTCAATACAAAAAGGCTGATAAGGGTTCAGTTTATTGGAATGGAAAAGAATAAAGTAGTTTTAAAGATACTTGGTGTTAATGGATTACGATCAATTAAATTCAGTTTATTTTTTCACAGTATTTTTTGCTAGCTAGCTATGCTAGCTATGCTAAGTAACAACCTTTTTAGCCAGTTGTTTACAGTTATAAACGTTTCTATTTAACTACATTAAAGTTCGAGTACGATGGCCATCCAGGCATTCAGCAACAGATTTAAGTTTCTTAATTTAGTGTTTTTTCAAGGTAGCTAGTAAGTTTTTTGCTACAAAAACAAAGGTTAGAATCATCAGCCCCAAAAAATGTAAAGTAAGCTAGAAGTATTGGGAAAATCATTTACTCACTAACAGAAATAAAAGGGATCCTAGAATGGATCCTTGTGGAACAGCACAAGTCACAGGTAAGGAAACGGAGTTATGACCATTAACACATACGGTTCAAGTTGCTCACTTTGGGTGAATAAGATTTCAGTAAATCTTTCAAAAGCTTTTTTTCAGATCTACAAATATACCACAGCCAAATTCAGTATTATCAATAGACTGTCGACTATTAGTCAAACATTTGTCCCTGAAAACGAAGCAGAATTGGATTTATTTTTAATTTCTCTAGATAACTATTAGAGATGATACATAGCTTTTTAAAATCATTTGCTTAAGTTGGAGACGAAACAGAAATGGGTCTTTAATCGTCTTTGTCATATTTAGAGCCTTTCATGGAAGACAAGGCTGAACCTGTGCTTACTTAAATTTATCGGCAAAATTGCCTCTTGTAAAGGAATCATTCACTAAAAAGGTCAGAGGCTCAGGTATATAGTCCTTCATAGTTTTCAGAATAGTAACAGGTATATGGTAGGCGCCACAAGACTTTCTAGTATTTATATCACTTATAAGATTCCCGATCATGTGGGATGACAGAGGATAAAAAGAAAGATACTAGAAATTAAATTACCCCTCATGCCATCAAGAATGCCCGCTTTCAGACGCAATGAATCGAATTATCTACACATGACGTTGTGTTATTTATTGGCCCTGTTTCCGAGCTATAAAGGTATTCACTATTTTAGTGAATGAAGACCGTAAACATTACAAACACAACGAAACGTACCCTAATGCATGAAAGTTCCGGCTCAAGCTACCGCTAAACTTTGATTGAAAGAAAATCGTTCTTACGATGCGATTTGCTCTTTTACTCCTAGCCTCCTAATTCACCAGAAATGTATTTTCTATTAACCGCAAAAGGTTCCTACTTTCGAGGAATAAAGAACCATACCGTTACAAAACACACTTTCAATTTCTGCGAATGTTAAATTCGTTCATTTCCCGGAAAAACGATAAGGACGTGAAATAATTTAATTCATACGCCCAAAAGTGAACTGACACCCGTACTTAACAACATTTGAAGACGTTAAATAATCAGAAATAAAACGAGAATGTGGCACAATTTTTGCTCCTGTTTTTGTTACTCAAGGCTTTGAGTTCACAACATTAATCCGGGAGCCTGAAGGCCAATATGCTTCCGCTTGTTTCCTTACCTGTTTTAAGCACCGGCTCAACTGGAGAGTAGTAGCCCCAATTTGCTGAAATAAGAAAATGTATTACGATATACTTGCAGCGGTATAACGAAAACTGAAGTGCCCGCTGTTTTTATAGTACTGTGAATTTGCGAACGAAGCGGAAACTAAACGAAAAGGAGCGGTTATGCATTCCAAAATGACTCAGACTAGGTGTGTGGCTATCGCCGCCTGACGTTTTAGAACTGAACTCCTACAAGATTGAATTTCTCGATATGTAAAGCCTATACTTA